ATGGGAGATTTTCTTAAGGCCATCTTTGGAAAATGCAGTCTCCCACAGGGAGCAATGGGGTATTCCGGAAGACAAAGCCTTACTTTCATTAGATACTGAATTAAGTTTTATTGGAAAGCTTCTCCTCCATAGGTAGTTCTTTGGGCCCAAATTTGGAGATAAATTGAGATATCTTCCTTCTTGGGTGGGTGGTATGATCACTTCTGGGATGGCCTTGTTACACTAAGGTCAGGTGAGGAATGAGCTTAAACTACAGCAATAAAGACCATATATTTTTAAAAAATAAACACCACTTTTATTAAATGTCTTTTCTTACTGGCAAGAATTAGATGTTCATTGGAGAAAAATTATAAAATGCAGATGAGCAATAATAAGACAAATTTATGGAACACCCCAAATCTCAACTACCCAGAGAACAGCCACTATAGGATCTTAATATATTTCTTTCAATACCTTTTTATGTGCGTGTGTGTATATGCATGTATTTATATACTTTATTTGGATGTCTATTTTTAAACAGAATAAGATCATTTTGCACTCACAGTTTTTCAATGTGCTTTTTTAAACTCGCTTCATAGCCTTAGATCATGAACATCCCAGAATGACTTTTACTTCTTCCCTCTTTATTTTTTAAATTAAAATATATTTATTTTTTATTACATGTGCTCAGTGGAATTCGCACCAGATATCAGCAAGAATGTACAAGTTTACAAGTGGAATCCCTCTTTGTATTCTTCTCTGTACAGTTTTTCATTCAATACTATATGATGGAGAGTCTGCATGCCAATAAATATAGATTTATGTCACTGTATTTAATGGTGTCGTGAAAGTCTATTTTACAGATATGCCAACATTTTTTAAATCAGTCTCCTGTAAATGGACCTGTAGGTCACTTCTATTGTTTTTTTCTGAAATTATAAACACTCGTGTTTATTTACATTTTACCATAAACATTTTTTTAACCCTAAATATCATTTTAAAAATTCAACACGAGTCCCAATAGTGTGACAGAATCTTCCCTGGGTGATCAGATAAACCAGGGTTTGAATTCAGGTCCTGCCACTTACTGGCTGTGTGACTGCAGGTGAAAAGCTTTGCCTCTTTCAGCCTCTCTTTCCACATTTGGAGGAATTGGAATATGTGTAGTCACTTCTGGGTAAAGTGCCCAGCACTATGCCTGGCCCACAGTGGTCCTGATGAGAGGTAGCAATTGTGGTCAGGGCATCTCCAAGTGGCGGATGTGCATGAACATCTGTGGTTTAGCTCTAGAGCTCAGAGCTGTTGTGAGTTGTGTGGTTTAGGGGTGTGGGAAGTGTAAGCGGCTTTTGTCCTGTTGCCATGACTGGCACAATTTGTATTCACTGGACGGTTGGGGGTCACATGGGTTTTTGCATTCCCGAGCTACATATTTCTCTATCTGGCGCAGTTCTGGGCAATCTAAAAATGCAATATCGCTGTCACCAGCTCGAGGAAGACACGGAGCCTGAATAATTTAACATGTCACCACCATCCATCATGATACCAAGAGCGTGGGAGATGGAGTGTGGAGGGGTGGGCCTACCAGAGGCTGGCAGAACAGGTTTGCGGACAGGGCAGCCCAATCAGAGAAGGTAGATTTGCAGTGAAGGGTAATGAGTCCCTTCTCATAGGCCAGAAAAGACCATACATCCTAACTCCTGCTTCATCCTTTCCCATAATATGACTTTCAAGTTGTTCAAATGCCCGGATTTGCCCCAGAGCAAACTTGGGGTCCTGTCTCTTGTTTGCCACCAAATATCTATGTCATCTTGGGGAAGCTTATAAATACCTCTGAATAGCTCAGTTTATTTATCAGCAAAATTGAGATAATTTCTCTGTAGAGGACTTAGCATCATGCCTGCAATATCTCAATTGCTTCCTCACCAGATGGTAAGCTCTGAAGTCAGAAAGTTTTTATCTGTTTTATCTACTGCTTTATCCTCAGTGACTAGAACAGTGTTTGGTACATTGTGGGCATTTAGTCAATACTTGTTGAATGAATGAAAAAATGAATGAGGGCTGTTGTGATTATGTGAGGTGACCTCTGGGTCCAGGACAGACTGAATGGTCATCCTCTGCGTCTCAAACACTGGGTCAGGACTCAGGATGTCTGAGCTTGGCCCTTTCAACATGGTTCTGTGATGTCTCCACCCTGTGTCTCAACTTACCCTCTTCCTTTCCCTCTCCCAGCTTTCACATCCCTCCCATTCTACAGTTCTATCATCAGTCTTGTGATGTTACAAGGAGAACAGAGTGTCTCTTTTCTTTTAGTATTTTATTTATTGAGGTAAAGTTCACATAACGTAAAATTAACCATTAACTATTTTAAGGTCCATCGCCATTTAGTATATACACAAGATTGTGTAATCATCACCTCTATCTAGTTTCGAGAGCTTTCCATCACACCAAGAGGAAACCTCATATTCATTAGCAGTCACTCTCTATTCCTTTCCTCCTGCCCAGCCCTGGCAACCACCATTTTTAGTCTCTGTGGTGAATATGCCATATTTTGTTTATCTGTTCATCAGTGGATGGACATTTGCGTTGTTTCCACCTTTTGGCTATTGTGAATAATGCTACTATGAACGTTCCTGTACAACTATTTATTTGATACCCTCTCTTCAATTCTTTTGGACTATACCTAAGAGCAATTGCTGGGTCATGTGGTAATTCTGTGTGTAACTTCTTGAGGAACCGTCAAAGTATGTTCCACAGTGGCTTTTGCCTTCCCATTTTGCCTTCCCACCAGCAGTGTATGAGAGTTCCAATTTCTCTACAGCCTCTCCAACACCTGTTACTGCCTCATTATTTTGATTATGGCCAGCCTAATGGATATGAAATGGTATCTCATGTTGGCCTTGATTTGCATTTCCTTAATGACTAATTACTAATCTTTGCATGAGAACAGAAAGGGTTTTGAATCAGGGAAAAGCCAGGTTCAAATTTGGGGGCTCTGCCATTTGTAATTTGTGTGATTTTGGATAAGCCACATGGAGATTCTGAGGGTTGCTTTGCCCTTCTGTAAAAGGGGGATGATTCTTAGCTCTCAGACCCCTTGTGAGATGTAGATGGGATGTTGCATATAAAGTGCCCAGAGCAGTGCTTATCAGACTGTGGTATGTGTTTGGCCATCATGGCTCCCTCCCCGACCACTCAGGACCAGAAGAACCCGGAGCTGCTGTGTCCTCTCCTTTTCGCTGGCCAGTCTCTGACCATTCTCACTTTGTCTCAGCCTCTAATTGGAAATACTTGAGCAGCCCTCTACAATAAGTGACTGCATTTTAGTTCACTAAATCACCAATTTCATATTAAAATGCTAGCAGAGGGGGCCCTTTTCCATCCATCTGAATTGTCTCCAAGGCAGTCTGTAATTGGCCTGTGTCCTCTTCAGATTATATGGACACTCAGGGGCTATATGCCTTGGGTGGCTGCCAAAACCCTAGTATGTCACAGAAGGCAGGGAGTTGCTCCTCCCACCCAGCAGTGCTTCTTTTTCTTCTAGTAGACTCAGGCAAGCATTGAACACATGAGGAATGTGCCCTCACTCTCGCTTCTTTGGTCTTTGTGCCAACTGTTTACACACACTATACCATTTCCTCATAAGGACCATGTGAACTGAGAGTTACTGTTCCCTTTTAAAGATGAATTAAGAGAGATTGGTTGCATTGCCCAAGCCCACACAGCTAATAAGTGAGACCAAGACTAGAACTCATGCCTGACTCTACTACCCTAATTTCTACAGAAGTGCATTACCTCTCATGGCTCATAGATTAACCCATTGTAGGAACCTACTAGACTCTAAGTGCCTGAAGGCAGAGACAATGGCTATTATCTTTTAATGGAATCTGAGCTACACCAGTTTTCATCCAAGTCACATTAAAAAAAAATTTCAACACGTTCGTGGGGTCTGTGGCTTATTCATTTCTTTCCTGTGCCCAGATCCTGGCCGTTAATTATGCTCAGTGATATTTGTTGTATAAGTGTCTCCAGAACTATGCTCTTCAATATGGTGGGCACTTGAAATGTGGCCAGTCTGTATTGCATTGTAAGCATAAAATATACACTGGGTTTTGAAAACATTGTGAAAAGGTATATTAAATATTTCAATACTAATCATTTTATATTGATTACTTGTTAAAATGATAATACTTTGAATATATTGGTTACACCCAGGGACTTCCACTGTGTGGCTCCAGCATAGTCTTGCCAGTCAGTACTCCACTAGATGTTGCTTCCATCTGCCCACACTCCTCATCCGCAAGGATGCTCTAGTTTTTTCGTCTCCTTGGAACTCCATTTTCTACTACTGAAGCCCCATCCATCCTTCCAGCCCTGACTTAAATCTTCCTTCTGCCATAAAGCCTTCTGAGGTCCTCCATGTTGGGATGGATTGCCCTCCTCCATATTCCCAGGATCTCATTGTGTGGAAAATGTAGCTATAAATTAGGTTAAAGGCTCCTTAGGATGCCATTTGTCTCCTCGACTAGCTTATGATCCCTGGGCTGGCAAGGACCGGGTTGTATCTATCTTTGTATCCCCATGTCTGGCTCTGGGCCTGGCATCTAGTAAGCGCTTGACTGAAGTGTGTGAAATTAAGTTGCCTGGAGTGTTTTCTTAGAGATAAGCTCATATATTAAGCAACAATATAGCTAGAAACTATTTAGTATTGTGTGTTTTACATATCATATCTCCTTTAATCTTCAAAGAAACAACCCAAAGTTAATAGTTACTGTCCCTATTTTAGAAAGAAAGAATCCAGGGCTCAGAAGGTCACACAGCCCCGAGGCTGCCAAGCCCTGGTTGCACCCAGATCTGGCTCACCGCAGAGCCTGAACTCCCTCCATAAATCATACCGACTCCTGGATCACTTGGGGCTTACAGAAAGAAGTCTGGGGGATGGGGTTGCTGATCTTTGGGACGGATGAGGGATTTAGCAAGCTTCTGGAGGCCTGCGATGACTGATGGATTGTGCTTCCTCGCAGGGGGAATCAGCTTTGGGAGAACCAAAGGGATGTCGGGGTCAGAGGCAGACGACGAGACGCAGCTGACGTTCTACACGGAGCAGTACCGCAGTCGTCGCCGCAGCAAAGGTAAAGGAGTCCTTGGGAGGGGCCCAGAAACAGCGTTTGTAGAAAGAAAACTTCGAAGCAGATTTTGTGCTTAATGACAAATCCTAAATCTTTTTCAACCTGGTCCTGGATCCGGTTAACACTGAGCTTGGCATTCAATACCCTGGCTAGACAAGTGATCACCATTATGTTCTTTCCCTCTCCATTCTTTATTGGCTTTCTGTCCTACCTCATGCCTCAAAGGATTTGGGGATGATTTTTTTTAAGTTTATGCAGTTTTTTTTAACCAAGCACAAGAAATGAAATAAATAAGAGAATTGGATGGAAAGGAAAATAGGAATAAAGAAAATTACTCAAACTCAAGTTAAATTGACACAAGGTAATCTATGCCACATTATTGTGTAGTTCTGAGAAGGAGGTGATAGTTTAACTCAGAGATTCTTACTAACTGAAGTGCAGAAGGAAACACACTCAGCTGTAAAATGTTCAGGGTCTATGGGATAGAGACAGTGTTTGTTCAGGAAAGTCTATCTACCTGACACCCAGACCAGGGAGAAAGTTCTCCAGTCGGTTCCTATAAACAGGAAACCATGTGATTTTCTAGACATGTCTTCAAGAGATGAAATCAGTATCAATGCATAATTATTTCTTACAATGATACCCAACGTGAGGAGATGTCAAAATGCCAAAGCAGGACTTTATAACAGGCTAAACCTAGAGGCCAAGGTCCATAGTACTCTGATGATTAAACGTGTTCTGAAGGGAAATTAGAGCATATTTCAGGCAACTCCCTGTGAATATAATCCCTCATCCCTGAGTGTCTTATAAAGATGGGAAAGCAGCAAGTTCAAGATTGCATTCTTGGGAGAGGACTTGGGGTGCAAACATGTATTCCATGCCAGTGCTTCAGGGCAGATCTGTGGGCTTAGACCAGGCCCCGGAAAGAAGCAGGGTCCTCTGGCAAACATGGAGGCAGCTAATCAAGGCATGTAGCAGCCTGTGGCTCTCCCACCACTGCACAGAGGTGGGCTGAAGATGTGCCTGGGAGAGGGAAGAGGGGGAGAATCTTACTCACGAAACAATTCTGCGTGCATTCCACCGATGCATGGTGGACATTCAAAGAGATGGATCACATAGCTTCCTGGTTCCTTTCGCTCTTAGGCAAGTCATCTGCCCTCCCTATACCTCAGTTTTCTCATCTGTCAATTGGGCTTTATAAACTAACTTATAGACTTGGAGATGAATTTTGGTTGTGTTATATAAAAAATTTATCATGGCGTCTGGTATATGCTAAGGGCAAATAGTGTAGACGTTATTAATGTCAGTTCGGTTCTCATTGTTGTTTTCCATGCCTCTCTATCTCTGGTGCCTTCCGCTGAAAAGGCCCCATTTGGGGAGTGTCTCCTTTGGCACATCACCTGGGAAGGTTTTGCAGCCTCTGCAGCTGTTAGAATAATTGGGCCTGCCTCCCACTCTTTCCCATGCCTCGACTTTCTGGTATCTGCTGCTTTGGCGATTTAGAAGTTGGAGATGGATGGTTCTGGACCTGTCTTCTCCCTCCCCTAAGACAGCAGCCAGAATTAGGGCTGGGGAAGTCAGTGGGTCTCCTCTGCAGGACTGGGCTATTTACAGCTAATTGGAAAAGCATTCATCACTGAGTGTGCCCCTCATAAATCGGAGGTAAACTTAAAAAACCAAAGCAAAAATAAGCCACAGGACTTGAGATAAAAGACTTGGCCCGGGGCCTCCATACACTCCAGAGGGGCAGTCTATGTGTCCAAGATGGCGAGGACCAGGGCTCTGAGGCCTCTCAACCCTTTCCTACCTTCCTTCTTTCTTCCCTCCCTCCTTTTCTTCCTTCCCTCCTTCCCTCCTTTCCCTCCTTCCCTCCTTTCTTTCTTCCTTCGGCTCTCTCTTCCCTCCTTTCTTCTTTCCTTCCCTCCTTTCTTTCCTCCTTTCTTCCTTCCTTCCCTTCCCTTCTTTCTTCCTTCCTCTCGTGCCTGCCTCCCTTCCTCCATTCCTCCCTCCCTTCTCTTCTTTCTTCTTCCCTCCCTTCCCTACTTCTTTCCTTCCTTCCTTCCTCCCTCTCTCCCTCCACCCCTTCCTTCCATACATATTTCAAATATTTGTTAAGCACCAACTGTGTGTCTGATGCTCTTCTAGGCACTGGGGATACAAACTGAGCAAGAATTTTTAAAAACCCTTGTGGAGCTTGTATTATTATATCAAAGTATAAATATATTAGAGGATGACAATGCTAAGGGAAAAGAATGCAAGGAAAGGAATTGAGAGAGCAGGGAAAGAATTGCAGGTGTAGATGCCCTGAGTGTGTTACCCTAGCATTTGCGGGATCACAGGCAAAGCATTCCTGACACTATAGTTGATGTTGTCAAGGTTATTGGTGCTGCTGCTGTTGCTGCGGTTGTTTGTTGAGCACAGAGTGAACTTGGTCATGGCAAAGGCTCTGCTCCAGCCAAATTAACTTAGAGCTCACTGTCCAGTTCTGCAGATGTCCTGGCCCCCAGTGAAGGGTTGTGACCCTTTGCTGTTTCTTATATGTTGTACAGGAGTTGGGGCACCTTCAGCCCTCATTGCCCTAATGGGAAAAATGCACAGGGAAGGTTTTGGGAGCCCTTGGGGATGAGACAGCAATGGAACAGAGTATTAAGAGCATGGATTCTTGCAGCAAGCTTCTTGGGTTCAAATCCATGCCCCAACACTTACTAGTGGTGCCATCTTGAACATGACCTTTAACCTCTCTGTGCATGTTTCCTAATCTGAAAAATAAGGATAGTAAAGTTAAAGCTCAGGGGTTGTTCTAAGGATTAAAATTAGTTGTATCTATAAAGCACACAGATGGGGGGTAAGGAGGGAGAGAAGAAATCATGGTAGAGCTGAGCTGCTGAGGAAGGAACACTGGGCCAAGTGTGTGGGCGAATCTCAGATCTGCTGCCAACCTGCTGTGTGACCTCAGTCAAGTCACGCCACGTATCCAGGCTTCCCTGAGCATAAGCCATGAGTTTGATTTCTGAGGTCACTTCTCACTCATGAAATGTACCTGGCTTCCAGTTCCTGCTCCCTTTGCATCCTGTCGGCCTCCACCATGCCCAATGTCTCTCCTCTTTCCTGATTCTCTTTTTGGAGAGGGTGTCTGCCCCTGACATGAGAGTGGCTTCTAGCATCCCATTGGGCCTTGCCTTCACCCCCAGGCCTACCTGAATCCCCATTGTTCCAGTCTTCTCTCCACCTCTGCTACCACCATCCCAGCTCTTCTTTAGGAAATGCCTGTGGTCTGCTCAGGGCTGTGCAGGCCAGCCTGGCTATGGCACAGAGGAGATGATAAATTGCAATGAGATGAAGGAAGAAAGAGGTAAAAATGCCAGGAAAGGTGGATCCCTATGCTGGTTGAAAATAGTCATTTCATAGCATTTGGAGTCCATAGTAATTCACCATACCCCTTGAGTTCCATCTGAAAAGAGGATCTGGGTGTGTTCCCTAAATCAAGGTACATGTGGACCTGGATCAAGGCATTCAACTCTTGACATCCTCGAAGTGCTCAGAAGGAAGTTGGGACTCTGAAGTCATCTGACAGTGACAGGAGCAGTGGTTTCTAATGCCAGATTTGCCACCAGTTTTCTGTATGACCTTGACCAAGCCACTGCCCGTCTCTGAGTCTCACTTTAGCAATTGACAAGTAGAGGTTGAAAAGGGATGCTCAAGAGCAAGTCAGCAAGTATGAGATAAAGTCTTCCTAAGGGCCCTGCCTGGTGCTGCGTGGTGCTGGGAAAGGTATTAGAAGACGTTGGAAGACAAAGAATAACCTGATGTTACCTGAGTGCTACATACTGTCCCAGCCCTGAGAGAGTTGGAGGAACACTAGAGAGATGTGGGGCTTCCAGGAGGGCTTCCTGGAAGAGTTGAAGCTGAAAGGTGGCCTGGGCTCAGACATGGCACTATCACTGTTCATTCACATGACACGAGCCAGTAGTCTCAATATTTTCATCTTTAAAATGGGGTGCAGTACCTCCCTCCCAGGGTAATTGTGAAGATTAAATGGGAACATGAGCATCTCCTTTATAACTACAGTTTCCTTTCTCCATTGCCACCATCCTAGTCCCTGTCATCTACATCCTTTGCTTAAAAACTGCTAACATCACCTTCTCCATGGTCTCAATTTCCGTATTGCAACCCATTTTCAACCCGCAGCCAGAGTGATCATTTAAAAAACGTAAATGGGGATCGTGTCGCTTCTCTGCTTAGAAACTTTCCATCCTTCTGCCTTTAGGATGGAATGTGAACTTCTCATTGTACCTACAATCCCCCAGGTGGTCCTGCCCCGCCCATGTCCCCAGGGCTCTGTCTGCCCCTGCCACCCGAGCCTCTTCTCCAAGACTCCCATGTCTGTCCTGCCAGAATCTTCACCAGCATGGACTGCTCTCCCTTGCCCTTTGACTCACTCCCACTCATTCTGACATCTTCACTTAAATGGTGGCTCTTCAGCTAAGCCATCCTGCACCTAATTTCCCTGTTTCATTCAACATCAGCTCCTGTGTTCTTCCCTCTCTGTTGACTTCATCAAAGCTATAATTTTACGTTTACTGATCTGTTCTCTGGGCATTATTTGTACCCTCTGCTGAACTGGAACCTTCACGAGAATAGGCACATTGTCATTTGTGCCCAGCTTTCCATCTGTGGCACCAAACACAGGGATGGGTCCATGGTATGTACTGGGTTCCTATTTTTGAGAGAATGAATGATTAATGAATGAATGAAAGAAATTCCTGGTCCAGTGTCTGGATTATTATAAGTGCTCAGGGTGGATGCTGCTTTCCAGTTTGCCCCTCTTGTTTTCTCTCACTCCATTCCCACTTGCTGGAAAAGGGTCTCCTCTCTCTCTCCTTCTCTTTCCAGTTCCTGATGAGCAGAACTGAGGCCTCAGTCCTGCTCATTCTTTCACCTCAAGGCTACCAGGGAAGGACATACCTGGGAGGGCCTGAGTACTTATGTTGAAAACCCAGTCT